AAAGATACGAAATACACGTTGTATAAATAAATAATTCAACTCATACACAGCAAAAGAACAAAATATTTTTACCATAAACCGTACATATAAGACCCTCCCAAACCAACTGTATAACGAAACCTTCTGTATAAACAGTGGCACCTATACTGTTCTTTAACACAAGTTAACATTCAACATTTTCATAGAGCTTTTTAAGTTTACAAGTTTTAAGCTCAGCATACATGTTTTTTTTTCAAGAATCTAGTTTTTTTAAACTTAAAACATAAAAAGCTTTCATGTTAGCATGAATTACCAGTAGATGGTGTTGACATAATCTTACTTGTTTTTTTTTTTACTGAAATATTTCTAACAGATTCTATTATGGATAAAGAAATCGATTTTTGCTGTAGATTTTGCCCAAAGCTTTTCCAATATTATATTACAGTGTTTAGTTTTACAGCAATGAGATGTAATTTCAATATTTGATAGACAAAGTGTGATAACATATAAAAAGAGTACCTATTTGTTTAGCACTTCATTCTTAACTAGCTCATAATGTGTTTCCTGTTCGAAGAATATACGTTTTTAACACTTCAACCACATTTTGTTATTAGTATTTTCTGAAAAAGCATTTAAGACTACACGTCTTTAGCCTTCACTAATTAAAAAAATCGAAAGTGTAAGATAAATGTAAAACAAATAAACCATACAGTTAATATCACGTAAACAAACATTGGAGCTTATACTTGTTATTGATCTTACCTGACAAATAGAATGTCAAACTTCACTCTCATATAGTTTTTTCTAAGTGAAATCATTGTTTTATGACGTAGGTGATTCTTTATTTTTCGGAGGGTTTATTTGTTTCAGAACAGATGAAGGGAAAAACGTCCCTAATTTAGAACTGATAGACTATACAGGAAACAAATAATCAAAAGCACCCACCGTCAACTCCTGTAAAACTATTGTCTGATCGAATAATAGAATTTGACCATCACTCTTATGGCGAACCTATGGTCCCAAAATATAGAGCGCAATATCCTCAGATTCACAGTTAGGGCACGCTAACTGACAAGTCCACACTCGGTTTTTGTCACAGGAAAGTGTGTATAAATGTTTTATTATTTCTTATAGATTTGTCCTTCAAATACTGTTGTATTTTTAGATGAAATATTAAAGAATTGTCTTTATAATAGCAATATAATACCTGCTTTTGTGGTTAGATGTTCTGTTTTACTCCAGAGTCCCAGAAGACATCTTTCCCAATATTTCTTCTTTTACTTAAAAAAAATATTGTCTTACATAGTTTTTGTAGTGTGATTTTCTTTATTTGATTTAACAAGCTATTTGCTTAATTTTCATTTTTGTAAGGTCTAGTTTTTATTTATATTTTTAAAGTAACAGTTGTTACAAAGAATGCGAGATATACTATTTAATCTCCAGGCTAACAATTACAGGAAAAATCGCGGTGCACTTAGACCTCGTATCCTTTCTACATGGTAGCCCGGCATGGCCAGGTGGTTAAGGCACTTGACTCGCAATCTGAGGGTCACTAGTTCGAATTCCCGTCTCACCAAACATGCTCGCCCTTTCAGCCGTGGGGGCGTTATAATGTCACGGGCAATCCCACTATTCGTTGGTAAAAGAGTAGCCCAAGAGTTGGTGGTAGGTGGTGATGACTAGCTGCCTTCCCTCTAGTCTTACACTGCTAAATTAGGGACGGCTAGCGCAGATAGCCCTCGTGTAGCTTTGCGCGGAATTAAGAACAAGAACTTTCTACGTGAACAGTTGTAACAAAGTTAGAACGCACGCTGTATCTCCACGTTATCAATTATATTATAAATTTTACAATGCTTAGTTCTTGTTTTCTCCCTACATGAAATGTTTTAACAAAATTTAATTACCTAAGGCTTGCAATTTAATACAAGATAAAAGCGGCCTGACTTTCTAGCTTGTGATAAGTAACAATTATCTTTGCCTCGGAGTTCAGTAAAGTTATTTTGAAGAATATTTTAAAATTGGAGAGGTTAAATTGGTACGCAGGTCAAAGGTCAACCTTTAATGTATAGAATGTTTAAGATGAGCATAAATAAACCACAATATTTCAACTGTACGATATCCTATCAAAATAGAGCCAAACGTAAAACTTATAATTATACGTAATAATATTTTATATTTCGGCCAGATGTTAAACTTATATTTTCACGAATATTTTAACTGGGTGTATGTCAATCTTAAAAACTCATAATGGTACAAAAGCTTCATTTAAACATAGCCAAAATATTAAGCACGTAACAATAGAATGGTCATCTCGACGATGATATTACTTCATAACCTAAGCCGGACAAGGCAAAATGATATCTGTAGGAACAACTATTTGCGTACTCTGAATATCTGAGCCTTATATATTCATCCAATGCAGCTGGAGTCTGGCTGCGTACTCTGAATATCTGAGCCTTATATATTCATCCAATGCAGCTGGAGTCTGGCTGCGTACTCTGAATATCTGAGCCTTATATATTCATCCAATGCAGCTGGAGTCTGGCTGCGTACTCTGAATATCTGAGCCTTATATATTCATCCAATGCAGCTGGAGTCTGACTTTAAGCAAGAAAGACGAGTGAAGTATCTAAAGCGCTTTAGCAAAGAGTGAAATAATCTGTGTTACATTAACTTATGCATGTTGCGTTCTATAAAGTACTTCATGAAGAAAACACATATTACATATGTTTTATATATAAATGTGAACATTTTTGTTTCTTCTTTATACTGAAGTCACACACAAAACTACTCAGATAAATGAACAAAAGTAGACATATAAGATATATTACGTAACATTTAAAATCCATTATGTTGGATAAAGCATTATATACATTGAGTCTGAAATATTCATGCCAGTGATCTTTTTACGATTCAGTATATTTATATAAGCGTCTTTGTTCTTCTGACGTGCTTGCGATTGATTCTAGTCATTGAGCTCTTCTGCTGAGCTTCCTATTGATTATAGTCATTGAGTAACAGTGAGTATTATTCCTTTTAGTTTATCCTTTTTTCCCATTTTGTTACTTTTGATAAATGTGGGATTATGTATATTTTAAAAATAAAGTAATTTTGTTAAAGTGTCTATTTCTGTCTCTGATCTGATCTCAGAATAGAAACGGTAAAATGTGTCCTGGTGGCTGAAGTAGAGGTCATACAGCTTTGAGGATACTATCAGTCTTAAATTTTACTAAAAAAAAAATTAAACTAAAATTGAAATTAGGTGTGGGCGTTCCATCATTCATAATCTACAATTACTTAAGAAAATAAGGTTGCATCTAATGTAACAGAATTAAAAACTAATTAAGAAATGAAGGACATACTTTTAAAGGTTATGCTGTAGGTTATCAAAAACAGATCACTGGGATGAAAAGTATATCTTATTTTTCCGAAAATAAATTTCTAGAATCCATGATGGGAAGAAAATTTATATTACGACATAACTTAACCAGTAACAAGGAAAAGATATACTGGTACTAAACAAAGAAAACAGGGATTTCTATCCACTAACAAGGAAAAGATATACTGCTACTAAACAAAGAAAACAGGGATTTCTATCCACTAACAAGGAAAAGATATACTGCTACTAAACAAAGAAAACAGGGATTTCTATCCACTAACAAGGAAAAGATATACTGCTACTAAACAAAGAAAACAGGGATTTCTATCCACTAACTACAGCAAGTTAATATAATATACTACTTCCACGTTCTTGTAATAAAAGTATAAAATACGATTCTTGGCTCCATTACACGACTCTCAAGAATCTGAAGTTAATTTTACGAGTGGAAATAATTTGGTTTAATAACACAGATACTAATTAAAACAACAATATTACAGATGTCTATGGGGTTTTGAGTCCGTTATATTTCACCATATATATATATATATACAATATAATAAATGTTTTATATTGTTATGTGTTTAAGTCTGTTACCTGTAGAATTTTAATCAATATCGAATAAATTATTACCAAGCATTATTATTTGGAAACTAAAGTAAAATATTACTTTACATACGTTAGAAGTTGAATCCATGTTTTGTGTGTGTATCCATAGTGTGGATAAAAAAATAACACACCTGGTCTATATGATACTATATCAAATTAGTTTAGGTTGACACCACACTTCTCTAGAGGTTGTAAATCGTAATTATAAAAAAAATCAGTATGTTAGAGTAAGTGAAATATGTGTTTTAGTTAAGTTACCAGCAACTTCATCCAGCCAATTCTAATATTCAAGGAAAAACAAAAACAGATGCTATTAAAGACAAGCTAGTAAATGAAATGTCAGACTTAATTTATTAATTTGTCTTTATTTGACTGCTTTTTTTACTCCTTTTGCTGCATTAGAAAAACAGAAATTAGTAAGTATAAGTATAAGTTTTCTCTCTTGACTTATACATTGAATATATATATATATACACTCATACAAATATATAAATGATAATGGTATTTTCGTAGTGTGACATACAACTCTTCACATAAAAAGCACCCGTACGAAATAACAATATTTTCAAAGGCTATAAAGAAAATAATTTCTACGTATTTGAGTATTATACGTATATCTATATACAAACACATACTAACTTGAAAATACCCTGTAGATTATGAAATATTTATACCTCGGTTGTTAGATCCCAGTAGTTTCCAAGAATTTAGGCTATTTTAGTCGTCATCTTATGCATCATTTCGTTTTTATTTTCTTTTTCCTAATTGGTCGATACCAAGACGTATATAGATATTTTTATTGGTATTGTTTGCACATAGCTATTTTCCTTCCACACTTGTTTTTACTTTTTTAAAGCTAGAATTGGACAATCGGACAATCATGACTTACCTTAATATATTTAAGTATTGACTTTTTACCACATATTTAGCAGAGTCTTATAATGAAAAAAAAAGTTATTTTGTCTAAAATGTGAACCCTTATATTAAGTCACGTTGTGTGTTTGTCCGCTAACTTCTTCCTACACAATTTTAGAGCTAGTAGGACGAAACTTGGCAGGCAGATTTAGAGCGATCCGGAGGAGGAGGTCATTCAAGCATGATGAAAGGAGTATAAAAGAAAATTTGTCGGGTCACTGAACCAGAACTGGCCCACTTGAAAGCCAACAGGACCAATCGTGGTACACGACCTTAGGTACCAAGAGCGAATGTCCTAACAGGGTCTGTTTTTGGGCACGGACCACTTGAAGTAGCTATAGCAATATTTGAGGAGCTTGATCTGTACATTGGAGCCTTTGTGAATCACGAGGAGGCCTTTGAAGCCCTTAGCGAGCGCAGGTATTTAGTACTAGTACCAGCAAATTGAAGCGTAAACAATTTAGTTACGAAGCAATATTGTTGAACACTTTACGTAGTTATACTTTATACATTTATGAGTTATGTTTGAAGTAACTAAATACAAGTTACATTTATGTATGATTAAAGGTTAAATATTATGAAATATTATAATTTTAACGATTCATTTTACACACACAATACGTTTAAATATATAATTGCGTCTGAAATATTTAGTAACTATGAGGTTCATGTCACGTATTTTAACATTACAAACCTTTTAGCTTACTGCTGAGCCACTGGACAACAAGCCCTTTTAAAGCTCATTATTGTTTGTTTTTGTTATAAGCACAAGTATGTACAATAGGCTAACTAAGATGTATTTATAAGGATCGAATCTTGTATTTTAATATTATAAGCCATCACGTTTACTGCTAAGCTTCAGTGTGGAAGATCTCATTAACAGTTTGCAACGTTTCACAGTTTACTTCCACTGAAGTCTTCCCACTTTATATTTTACATGAATTTCTCCTTAAAAAAACGTACATTTGTATTTCATTCAGGCCTTCTTATAGTAGCCTTGATTAATAAAGTAATTAATTAATTATTAATATTTAATAATTTAGATTCGTTAAAAATTCCAAATAAAGCATTTCAGAATAAGTTAATGTAATAAAGTTGTTTAAGTTGTCCACCACACATAATTCCTGGTAATGAATGGACATGCACACGTATTAGTATATATACGTGTACCTCGTGAGAACAAAGAATACCTTTGTATGTGGTTTACATTCTGCTACATAACATGTACAGATGGTGCAAGTGTTTGATTGGCAGTTGGAGAATCAAGATGTATTTAACTTTTCTTGTTTATCTTTCTCTTTCTTTCTCCTTTGTGCTAATCTGGATTGTTTCATAGAAAATAACCATCATGAGTTCACGAGTGAGTGTCACAGTGTGCGATGCACAAAACCTTTTAAAATGGCTTGGTTTTCAAAGATAAACATTACTTAGTAGGTATATTGACGCATTGGTTTTACTGCAATGTCGCTATTCACGTAACTAGTGTAAACACGCAGGCTTTCCAATATTTAAGCGTAATGTAACAGAGACAAGGCTTAAAATTTGTCAGTCGCGATATTATAGATCATATAGTCGCGATACTTTTTAGAGCTATAGGATTTTAAAAGCGATTAACACGAATTGCATATCTTCAAATTAGATGTAGATATAAGTTTGCATGTAATTGTTTATGAAAATAAATCAACAAGAAAGTCGAACACGATTCACTAAACTTTAAGATGCGAAATCATTAGCGTATATTTACTGAATACAACAGCAATCATATCTATACGAGAATCATAGCTAATTTAACTATAATTTTTTTCTTTTAACTAGAAAACATGAAGAAGTTACGGGAAAAGTGGATTACATTGTTTGTTATGACACGCGAACTCGAAAACTTGTACTCTTGAGAAAATACTTTAAACTATAATATTATCAGTATTTTTAGTTTATAATAAGATAATAAATGGTTCTAATAGAACGTTTTCCCGAAAAAAAAATGTTCATTTTGTGCTAACTTGCTACTCAGATAACGAATTGCTTCACTCTAATTGTTAGCTAGACGACCACACACGAAACATATATGTGGTGATTTATTGTTGACATGTGCAAATGCGATAAGTGCTTGATATATATGTGCATTAAATTTCAAAGGCTGTGTTTATTTATGTATTAGGCTTACAGAGAGTCGAATGCGGCTCATTGTTCTAGATTCGAGCCGGGATGTGCCGCTGAACACGCTCCTTACTTAGAGCTGTGGGGAGTGCTATAGGTGTAACAACCAATCTCGTTATTCGATTAAGAGTAGCCAAATAGGTGGCGGTTGCTACTGACTGTTTACCTTCCCTCTCATCAGCAGCTTTAAATTAAAGATGGCCATGCTGAATCTTGGCGTCTCTCACCCGACTGCTTAATTAACATGTTGCATAATGTATTCTTATATAAACACCAACATTTACTCGTAAGCACCATTTCACAATTTTTTCGCTTTAAAACACTTTTGTTAGACAATTTTTTCCCTGTATAATACATTTTTGTTTTACGAAATCAGGATAATAATTTCTTATTAGCAAAAACTTTTAATAAATTCTGATACCAGGTAATCTTTATTGCATTAAAAAAATCTATTTCTCCTTTTAGGTTTAAGTGTTTCTATAGAAATCACAAACTCATGGTTCTTGGAGCTCACTAAGTTGGAAAGTTGGTATCCCCCAGTTAACTAACAAACAGAAAAGGCAAAGGTCACAGGCAAACAGCTTAGGGTTAATCCTGATCGGCTTTTTTTTTACTTTTTAGTTTTAAAAGATGAAGACAATACGCAGTCATAGGTATTTTGCTCTGTTTTATCAATTTGAAACTGCTCTTTTTTTTAAGTAACTTGAATTGAAGTCAGATAGATCAAAGTAATTTTTGAGTTTTTGTTTGGTTACATAACTCTAGCGGATTTAACTGAAGAATGTTTTAGTAAATAGCTGAACCAGACAAAAACACAAAATAAATAGCCTAGAGCAAGCAGTACAGTAAAAACGGAGTGGAAAACATAAGGCTGAAGTTGAATATTCAACAGTTTATAAAGGTTATTTAATTTAACTCGTACAAACTAATAAATGCGATTTATATTTTGCCTCATTTTACACAATTAATGAACCAGTTACCGACTAGAAGTGCTGCACATTTTGAATTTCTTTAAATGAAACATCTTGAGTCTGTGTTGTTTCTTAACTATAATTGAGATGATGTAGCTTTTTCATATTATGAGATTAGTCAGTAGCGGAAAGGTAAATATTTTTGACAAAGTAAGTAGGGTAGTTACAACAGAAACCCATAATTTTTACGCCATTTCGTGAGAGTTCAGTGAAAAGTACTACAGTGTTTTGAGTAGAACGTCAATGTGTTTAGATATATTTGTTCAAATGTGATGCTATAAATGAATGTGTTGAGGTGAAACAAACGAAAATGTGTCATTTCACTGTCTATGAAGAACGTCTGCTGTATCAGTACAGTTTAACCCTGAAGAAGAAAGGTCCACCTTTCGAAAGCGCTCGGGTTATAGGGTTTAATCGTTTTACTACATTCGATGTAGAAGCTCTTAAAATGATTTAACGGTGTAAAAATAACGTAACATAGGAATAACACGTTAAGCCATTTTTATTTGCTTTTATTTTAAAGCATATTCATAACAGGTGATTGTAAGATTTTTTCCCCCAACAGTAATTAGTTATCTGTGATATTTCTCATTGTAATGAATAAAGACTATAGATTTGTTGGTCCAAAGTTTACATTCATTTACCTTAGAAATATCAAAACATGCACCACACTTTGGAGCGGTGGGTGCGTTATAAGAGTGACGGTCAAATCCCACTATTTGGTCAAACACGAGTAGCACGTTTTTCTAGTCTGTCAGCTCAAAATTAGAGCAATACAAGTTCTCTTTGAATTATCTTGAAATAGTGGTCTCGCTTAATAAACATCTGTCACTACAATTTGAATTATACACTGATAAGTGTAAGGTGCACTTCCCGTTAGCCTGTTTGTTCGTGCTGCATCCTGGCAGGAATCTTAAAACTTCTCATGCTAAGTCTACTAATGAGGCAAAATTGGAAAGTAATAATGAAAACATTAATCTACTACATAACATTTACTGTTAGAGTGCCGGACTTGGAGCTGAGAATTCATGGTTTGCGTCAAATTCCACTATTCGGTTTAAAAAACGTAGTCTAAGAGCTGGCGGAAAGTGGTGTCTATTAGTTACTTTCCACTAGTCTATCACGTCAAAATTAGGGACGGTTAGCGCAAATTACTCTCTTGTAGCTTTGTGTGAAATATAACAAGTTAAAATACATATATTTTATACTAGAAGAAATAGATTAAATCTTACTCGATAGGTAGCGTAACATACCTTTGTTTTTTATGCTATACACTCAACCAAACATGAATAACGGCAATAATATTTACAAAGTAACAAAATAATATCAAATATACCAAAGCTGTTTTTTAAAAGTATCGGACAAAATAAATCCAGAAAGACGTATTAGTAATCACCCATTAGGCATTGGCTTTTTACGCTAGAAATTGTGATAAAAAAAGTAAATCCGAAATATTGAATTAATCTGTAGTGTAAAAAAAGTGCGTTTGATAGTTATTGATAAACTGTGCTTGTCAAAACTTTTCAACAACGCCAAGGTCATCTTGCAACATTCAAAATGCTTTGGATCTGCCATTATTTTATTTACAACTCAATTGCTCATACATTTATACAACTTTTGGCTTATATACAATTACAGATGAAATAATCTGAGATATCACATACTATTAATAATTCAAACAATACCCTAAACCATTTTTAAGACATAAATCTGTTTGAATTTCTTTAAAAAAATTCGGAAAGTCTTGTTGTTATATCAGCTTTAAAACTTAAAAGGAACTATGCGGGAACATTAGAAATATGATGATGCCACTGGAGGTCATATGTTTAAAAGCTAATTCTTTAAAAGCTTATTTTGTTCAAAATAACTGTAACAAGAGGGAATTCTCAGAAGCCGCGGCTATAACTAGATCTCAACTCGGTCAAGAGATGGAGTTATGAGCTAAAAGTTTGTACTTGAGAAAAAAAATCATACATTATATGAGCCGCTATGCCGCGGCTAAAAATTAACCTTTTACGTAGAATAAGATATTTGTGAATCACATTATTCAATATAACAAGAAATTATATATAAGATATTAGTTCACTATCCTCCATGGTTCTTAATGTATTTTCTTATCTGGGTAGCGTCATACATAATGTTTATATTTTGAACTTATATATATACAATGAATTAATAATTAGGTATATATATATATATGATAAGTTAAATACTTCAGTATATGGATATTTGATGTGCAGGACTGTGAATCTCAGTGTATATGGTTCACGCTCTGTGGATTGTGGGTGTGATATGAGAATGACGCTCAAGTGATATTCAGTCAGACCAGAGTAGCCCAAGCTTCTCTCTAATGCATCATTTCAAAATTAAGAACGGCTATCATAGACAATCCTTGTGTAGCTTTGCAGGAATTTTCAAAACAAACAATTGGAAATTATGTAGACAGTGTAACGAATTCAAATTTTGAAAGTACGTTCACTATTTGTATTTATTAATTTATTGACAAAATGTGAAAGTTGATTAAAAAAACAACGCATTTTTCAAGTCGTCTATTCCGTTTCCATAATTAATATATAGATGTTAAAACACAATCCTAATTTAATAGCGTAAAAATTATAAACAAGTAAAAAATAAACGAAAAAAAATACAGTATAATAACTTGTATTCACAAACATTTACAAACCTTTTTTCGATGACATTAAAACTGAAAAAAAAGCTTTATGGATTTTACTAAATTGTAATGTGGCCATTTTTTGTTCTTGTTTGCATAGAATTCTCAGTGAAAACTACATCTCTTAACTTTTACATACATATTAAAGTCATAATGTGTAAAATAAACAGTATTATCTTCTCATAAATGATAAAAACAAATAAAACAAATATTCGAAGTTTAATATGGAAACATTATGACGTTTCCTTTAAAGACAGATCAGTTTATTTACAAATAGAGACGGGTCGTATCTATGGAAAAGTTGTAAAATTATGCTTATTATGTATCTCAGTACATTACTGCTATTCTTCAAGGTAATTATGTGATAATACTAGGAAATAGTGTTTATACCTTAAAGCTATATCCAATACTCTAGAGACAGTGTTCCTAGTAATTATAGAAATATATTAAATACATTTTCAATATCAACTAAATACTTCCTTTGGAAAGTAAAGAGTAGTTAATTAAATTAATTGTTATTTTGTATGCCAAGTTTCAATATGTAAGGCAGTTTGTTTTGTTGTTAACTATGAGTATCAAAACCCGTTTTGTGATATTATATATCTTCAAATTTACCGTTAGCTACTGGAGGGCAAGTAAGGCCGAGGAACTATTATTATCAAAATTTTATTTTACTTTTGGATCCGACTTCATACTTCTAAATAGAACAATATGCTCTACAAGAAAATTAATAATGACTATCTGCCAAAAAAGGGAATAAAATAGTATTTTTATTGTATTCTTCATTGTAGACTGTTGGCTGTCATTTCTCTCGTACAAGTAGGATTGTTGACTTAAACTTTTTTTTTATCTGTTCTTGAATCACAACACATTTTAAATATCCACATGAAGGGAAACAATGAATTCGCTTCTATATGTGTAAACCTTATTTTTAGATTTCGTTAACAAGATATAGCTTACATTCAAACAATAGAAAGCAGATATGTCAGAACGTATTATGTTAACGTAGTTTCCGCTCAGGATTTACCCTTACGGATAAGTAATTATATGATCTTCATTGTATGTATGTATTAAAAAACAACAACATCCTGGTACAGTGTTTAAAACCTAATAACGTTTTCTACCAAACAATTTGATCATAAGCAGTGTTGAGAGGTTTTATACACACATAACAGAATCAGTGAAAAATAGGATATCCCTTAATGCAGTCACTCAGCTGTAGCGTTAGGTAAGCCGATAACAGCTATTTTTAGAAATGAATAGTATTAAGGCAATAGTACGAGTTCAACATTTTAGTCAACATTGTGGTAAATTGTTATTGTTGTTGTTTTAGCGCTAAGGTACACAAAGGGTTATCTGTGTTCTGTCCGCCACGAGGATTCGAGTCACGGATTTAAGCCTTACAAGTCCGTAAACTTACAGCTGACCCACCGTGGGACATTGTGGTAAATATAAGATTTATTATTATGAATATACAGAGTAATCATATATATACACATACATATATCTTTATATATAAATTACGGGGTTATGTCTTAAAAATATTTGTTCTAATGGAGCTAAATTTCACCAGAACCGCAATGAAATTCTTAATTTTTTATACAGGAAAGTTTAGACATGATAAAGCATGTTTGAAAACCATGTTATATTACATGTCTAAATCTCTTATATTTCTCTAAATTTAGGGCTAGGGTAAATGTGATGATTGTAAAAGACATAAAGCTTATAAAAGCTTTTCTGTGACACCCTTAGAAACTGGGATACCATAAATAAGACTCATTATTTTTAATGTTTTTTGATGTAATTTATTTTTACTTCTTAGTGAGATATAATTATTATAAATGTTTTTATAATCATCTTGCGCTTCATGCTTACATTTATCAAACTACTTTTTGCGGTATAAATTCTCCTGCTCTAACGTGTTTGATGCATTTTGAGTTTGCAAGTAAAAACCTAGTTCAAAAACACGTAAATATTAAAGTTTTGAAATAATAAGTTTTTATTCTCAAACTATTTGCAAGTGACTTCAGGTAATTACAGTTGACTAACTAGAGATAACAATGGATAAGTTCCGCCATCTATCGACTTTTTCTGTGATTAATTTAATATTTATTAGACAAAATTGTTCGAATCAAATAAATATTTTGACGATTGTTCTTTTTCTCTATTTTTATTTTTTTTCTGAATATATTGTCAAGAATAATCTGTCAAGTTAAAAGTTTTACAACTCATGAATCAATCAGGATGTTTTTATTTTTTGTTTTTGTTACGGAAGTTCGTCTTTCGAAACATTATAATTTCATTTCGATTTTCTTTAAAAAGATATTAAAACAATATGCGAGAAGGATAAAAAAGCTTACGTTAAAGATACGCTGTTTTTACTGTTAGAGCCCGAATGAAATAATGCACAACAGTTTATTTAACTTGTCCCAGTATGCATAGTGAGTGTTTTCAATATATTTTTCCATAATGTTATTTTACTCAATAAGTGTATTTTATTGCTGTTGTTTCAGAATATTCAATGCCTTTAACACAGCCCTTCCTCGAAGCTTCTCTAGGATGATAATATGATATTGTATTTGTATTTTATTTATTGTTGACTAATACTAACTTACTTCATATTGAAAATAATTATAATTATTTAGTTAAGAAATGACGGTAGCTTGTCTTTAATTTCATTTACTTAAGTGGTGTATGAAATAAGCTTTCTTTATTTTCAGAACATGATACAGATGCGCAGAAGTATCAAATGAGTCCAGGATTCGTTATGGAAGACAAAGTTTTGATCCTGAACAGTTCTGACGATTTGAACTATACGTTACACCCAGACAACTCGAGCGATGGATCTAATATCATTACTAAGTGTTTGGTTGGTGTATTATTAGGATTAATAATTTTTTTCTCAATCACTGGCAACTTACTAGTCTGCCTAGCTATCTATAAGGATCGGGGACTACGTAAGCTCGGCAACCTTTTTCTTGTTTCTCTTGCTCTAGCAGACCTATTTGTAGCATCGTTGGTGATGACATTTGCTGTAGCTAATGACCTGATGAACTACTGGATATTTGGTTCAGGTTTTTGTGACATTTGGATAGCGTTTGATGTCATGTGCTGTACAGCTTCAATCTTAAATTTGTGTGCGGTCAGTTTGGAACGATTTATCCATATTAAAGACCCTTTACGCTACAGCCGTTGGATGACAAAACGAGTGGTTTTTGGTTCAATTTGCTTAATCTGGTTACTTTCTGCTTTATTATCTTTCTTCCCAATCAGCTTGGGGTGGCACAAACCTAGACGTTTGAAGTTGGTTAGTAAAGAACGACCCATGTGCACTTTGGAATTGACGCCTGTCTACGCTGTTGTATCATCCTCAATCAGTTTCTTTGTTCCTTGTGTAGTAATGATAGCCTTGTACGGGAGACTATATTTTTACGCGAAGAAGCACGTGAAAAGTATTCTTGCAGTAACAAAACCTTCTGAGAATAAGGCATCCCACAGTTCCCAACACAAATCTTCTCACTTGATAGAACACAAAGCCTCTATAACAGTAGGAATTATAGTCGGCGTGTTCCTAGTATGTTGGGTACCATTTTTCTCTGTCAACATTATTGCTGCGTTTTGTAAATCGTGTATCTCAGACCTCGTGTGGAAGAGTTTAACATGGCTTGGATACTTCAACTCTGCTTTAAATCCTGTAATTTACAGTATTTTTAACGCTGAATTCAGGAATGCGTTTCGAAAAGTTCTCTTCTATTGCTCATTTAATACACCTGGTTCTTCTTGTGCAAGCTGTCAACTGTGTTGTGCGTCTCTTCGTCAAGGAAAAAATTCTAAGGAAAAGACAGTAGTAGCTTTGCAAGTTAATCAGCTTTGTAATGACATCTATAGAAATGAACATGGAAAAGTAAGTGAAGTGTAAATACAAGTAGTGATGTTCAAGTACACAAAGTTTTGGGTGAGACTATCAAAATATTTTAGTCCTCTAGGTCATTTTCTGGTCAATATGAAAACACACAACAATGATGTGACATCTATAGAAATGAACATGGAAAAGTAAGTGAAGTGTAAATACAAGTAGTGATGTTCAAGTACACAAAGCTTTGGGTGAGAATATCAAAATATTTTAGTCCTCTAGGTCATTTTCTGGTCAATATGAAAACACACAAAAATGATGTGGGAGTGAGACTAATGAAACAAAACTACCAACGTAAGATAAGTTTACTAAGTGATGATTCACTTTTATATCTTTCTAGTAAAATAGAGAGAGAATTTTTAAACGTTGTAGACTCCTAACTTAACACTTTTTCACTCGGGCTAACTGAATAAAAATGATGACAGACAATATGATAAAATGTAGAAGTCTACAGATTCGGCGATCAATCCACTGTAAATTTAGTTTGCTAGGAAAGGAAACTGCCTGTGACTTTACGTTGAAAAATATTCAAGATAACATTTTGCATTATTATTTATACATTGACAATTTACACGTGCTCAACTGTGTTTTAAAATATCCAAACTCATTGGGAAAGTATGATGTTTTTATAATTGTCTATGGTTGTAAAAAAATCATATAATTCTTTAATAATTCGTGATTATATATCTATTGTGTACCATGTTATTTAAATTTATATTGAATATATATATGTATATAGAAGCATTTGTGAAAATTAACATGAATAGCACCTTATTCAACTTGTGGGCTAAAAGGCAGATCAGAGACACCTAGTGTTCAGACATAGCTGTTCCTAATTTGGAACTATTGAGCAATGTGAAGGCAGCCAATCAGAAGAACTCATCGCCAAGACGGTTTTCAACCGACTAACGGCATTGACTGTCTCTCTTATAACGTACTCATAGCTAAAATGAGGAACGTGTTCAGCAGCATCATGTGGATATTCTGATATGTAGCATGGTACTCTAACCACAAAGCCAAGCCCATAGCTGTCTGTATACAGAGGTAGCTTCAAATAGTATAACTGTTATTATATTAAACATCTATAGTTAATTTATGAAGTGTAAAAAATAAAACAAGTGCGCATATATATATATATATATACAAATACAAGAAAAACGTGTGAATAAATTACAGTGTTAGAACTCATTAAGTAAGTAGTATAAATTAAGCAGTTTAATTTACCCTTGCAGTATTTGATCTTTCTTTGAAACTACAAATGAAAAAAACAACCTAATCTCCTGATACTATTTTATCTGAATGCCATATTTTATTCGACGTGATTTTAATTTTATTTTAAACCAGTAACAAATTTGTACATATTTTTGTAATTAAAAATTATATAGTGTCAATCTCTGTAATAGTTCGGATAATAAAATGAAACAAATCTCTGCATGTATCTTTATTTGTCTGTCTATCCATCTAAATATTTTGCATTTGTTTTAGCGCAAAGTTACGTAATAGGTTTTCTGCCCTTTGCCTACTACGGGAATCGAATCCCGGATTTTAGCGTTGTAAGTCCGTACACATACCGCTGACGCACTGGGGGACCAGTCTAAAGACAACTAATTTAAAAAAAAAATTATCTTCAATATGCTATTTGATGAACTAAAAGTAAAATACAAACAATATTTAGTTTATTCTGTAAAGGGTGGTTCATTCTAAAATTAAACCGCGTATTATAATAATATTTTACTGCCAACGCGCACAAAAAATTCTAGATATTTTAAAAATTGTACATGACTAGTTTTCGTAAATCAGGAGGACTTACAGTAAGATATTTCCCTTACTCAGTCAGAAGATATGAGAGAAGTAATAATTCATTTTATTTTTCCATATTTAATTCGTCCGAGAACGGCAATACCGAAATAAACAGAATATGTTTTAGCTCAATTAGGATAATGGCATTCAAGTTAGCTTAATGGCTATACAGAAATAACAAAGCACTATTCTACATTAAAAATGATCCATGTTTGCGTAAAATCTGCCTAGATTAGACATTAAAAATGATCCATGTTTGTATAAAATCTACCTAGATTAGTAGTGCGTTATAAGAAATGAAAGATTTCTGCTTCGAGAAGAAATATCCAGTTAGATATATCATATACACGTATCTTCCGATCATTGCTATAAATATAAACGGATTTTCCGATAAACTGGTATAATTTTCCTCACTATCGTGTCATGTTGAAATCTACTTGATTATCAAAGAAAGAAATCTCTCAACCATCCATATGAATAGCAAATATATATATGGGTATTTCGGTGACTTTAAAGAGAGTAAAAGTTTAAAAATATTATAATGAATGATGCTTTTTCATGGTAATTCAGGGGCGTTGTTTCAGTTACTGTTCTGTAGCATCCTCTTTCCATCTTCATTGGAATACACCGAAACTTGTCAGTAAGGCAGATTTGGTCATTAGAAAAACTTCGGAATAAATATTATGAACTAACAGTTAATCAAACTTTATAGGAACAACGCTCTTGGTACCATGCCGATGACACTATTTTCTCCATGACCGAATGTGTTCAGAATGATAATCATAATTATGCGTTATTATCCGGCTCAACAAATTCTATTTTAACAAGGTTATGCAAAGGACAGTGAGGTCAAATGTTGATATTAATGTATCTTTAAACAAACCTTTTCAAGACTCTCCAGTGTATGTAGACGTCAGGTTCCAAAACCACGTTTTAAACAAACTAAAGACAAAAGCCAGACAAGATTAATTACGCTCCAAGCGATTTTATAAACTTTTAAAACAGAAAACGCTATGCAGAATTCTGGCTTAGAACTTTATTAAGAGCTTAGGATTACGGTCAGCACGTCTACTATAAGTAGAGAACTTCATGGAATGTATGCACTACCTACATGTCTTCTACAATAGTGAATGTAATAAATTGGCATGATGGTGATTTCAATGTCGAAATTAGAGTGAAATAAATCCTGTGAAACGACAATTCCTCCTAATGGATATGTCTGGATCTGATGATACCGTAAATAATGCTTTAGATATGAATGGTCTATCACACTGGGACATTCTGAATAAGACTGCACTGCACGAATACGTGGAATTCTATATGTGTAGGGAGTCGAACTATATCCATTTCAGCATGATGATGCACCATATGATCCTAAATGCTACACACAGTACAGAGAGCAGAACATAATCGGACGTACCAATAGGGACCGTGGGGATGTAGTGATATTCCAAAATCATTTTAATATAACGTACTCAACCACTTAACATCCAAAACCTTCCTTGGCCAGCTTAGAACCTTGACTTAAAACCAATTGAACTACTTTGAGACGTTTTGGGAAGATGTCAGATGAGCATAAAGGAGAAATAGTCGAAATGTTATTAAATTTTGAACTGACTGTTAATACCATTATAAATATACCAGATAAGTACAGACTATTGGTAACAGATCTAGGCTGTTGGGCCAAGGAACAAAACAAGGGTCAAAACATATAATATATTTAATTATAGATTCCTATCTTAATTGCTTTTACTTTTGATAACGTATTATGTGTTTTTCTTACATTTGAATAGCTTGTCGGTAAATAGAAACAGAAAGAAAAAAAAGATATCAGAGGAGATCCTCATATCGATTTAGTTTTTGGCCAACTCTAGCATTTATGATTATACCATAAAACTGTTCTCTTACAATTATTCAGTGTTCTAGACCCTCACTTAACTATAAACTAAATGGATGTGTATGATTCATTTCATTTGCATTAACAAAGTGTATCCAGAAGCCGCACCGTTATTCTGGAGTTTGTGTATTACAGTTTTTAAACTAACAAACACTTCTTGTTTGTTAATTTTGGAAATATCACCTCACGGTCGTCTTTGAAACTATTAGTTTGTAAATAGAAGCAGTACTGCATAACATAAAATAGACTGCAATATTATCAAATGCATGGAAATTTGTTCTCGAGAATGTTATTGGAAGTTTTCTTCGGGAAAATATACGCGCCTTTTTTCAGAAGTCCCTTGATATTCAAAAACTTGGGAAATTTAATTTCCCAAGCCCAAGAAGAGTCAAATTACAAATGTTCTCTCGTATTATCGATACAATATTCCACACATATATATAACATAAATATTTTATGTAATTTTAAGCCTCGAGGAATTGAATTAAACTTTCAAACCATTAGTCATAGACCTATTAACATATATAAATGATCAAAATACTTCGATGATGAAAGGGTTTTGGATCGTAAGATTGCAGTAACCTCTAATAAGTATATGTTTACTGTATTTTATATCAGGAGTATTTACATATAGACATTTTAATTTCATCCTATGAGATTAAATATTTAAGAATAGTTTCTACAGTAGCCTTCGGTAATGTATTAAATTTATTATGCAGTTGTTGAATGCATAACTTTAGCTATACACACAGACGAACATAGACAATCAAACCGAACAGTGAAGGCTTGCTTTTACAGTCTTGGAAAGTGCAAAACGAAGAAAACCGTTATTTCTGAAAATGGAGTGTATAACTTTACGATTTCCAATGAGAAATAGGTTCGTTGAATACAGTCTCCCAAGTTGTTAGGACGAAGTGTACTATCTGTTGTTATTAATTTCAACACGATGAGTTTAATTGAGCACTAGATGACAGTCACCAAAGTTGCGTCGAAAGAGCGTTGATCTCAAATTTGCAGATCGGCTTCTTCGCGGAAGATATAAGAAAGTTCCTTTACTGAAGTTACCCATGGCCTTCTATACTGTTCTATTAATTCCCCACCTCTTGATTTTTCTAGCTACCCCTTACGGCACTTTGGTTCCCAGCAATCTCATTCCGTCTGTCGATGAAGACCTTCCATTGTTAACATTTTCGCTTTTCTAGTGAAAAGGAGGGCGATATTTTACCAAAAAACGTTGTGCCAGATTTGATATAGGGGCTTTTCTTACAACTTACCAGTTTCCTCATTTAGCTTTGCCTCAGCTTGGCCTGACACATATATCTACATGATGGGCTTACCCTGCAATTGCTTTGATTTCGGCTAACCATCTGGGGATTAACCGTTATTAATTTTAAGCATTGTCTCTATTTGCAATTCGTTAAGTTTACCACTCCAAAAGAAACCTTGTTCTTTACACTGCAGAACCCAGTGAAGAATTTTGCTTGTAAGCACTGTTGTGTTCTGCGGTGCTTGTGAAGTTTGTGAGATGTAATAGAGCTCTGATGGATGTGGCTGAAGTAAATATCTTCAACAGTCTTTAACAATTATTATGCATCTTCTCAATCGTATCTCAGTTATCATATTCATCTCTTTTTTTCTATAATTGATATAATTTATTAGACTATCTAAACGTAAGAAATGTGTCAAAATACTAACCAGTCTTCATTTTTGTTGATAGCTAGCTAAACTATGTGCTAAACGTTAGTTTGTATAGAATTACACAATCTCTTCTGCTACTCAAACGTAGTAAAGCTACTGAGTATTGACCTAAATACTATTACGAATTTGAAAAACACATTCTTGATCAGTCAAGGTGACCAAACTTTTCACACGAAGCCAACAACACAGGTGCTGCTTGTGGCTGATAATTAGCGTTGAAACAAGAAAGTAAAATCACTGAAAGCTAAAAAAAAAAAAATAACTAAACGATAAATTTGTTTTTGTTCAGATTATCAAAATAATCATCAACTAAAGAAATAACTAAGGCCTTTCTCTAAATGTTTCATGTAGCAATAAGTTGGTTAAATAAATGTATGAAAGAGAACTTACTTTAGGACCTTTCAATGCAAATTACACAGGCCTGCAATGATTTTATTGTCTTCAAATTTTTACATGTTCTACCGTAATTCCTGTACGCTGAATCCAAAAATGATATCCATTTTTTTCATCACGTACAGATTCTTCACAAAACGTCATAACGCAATATATATAAAACAAAGACCACAACATGTAGTTTTGAGACTAAAAGACGAAGTTTCCAAAAACAAAAAATTCAGGATGAAGGTTCTTCCCTTTTCTTCAGTTTGTTTGTATTTTTGTTAACAAACACAATAATAAAAAAATGTTTATTGTGGTAAATGAAATAATAATTTGATTTAAGTAACAGTTGTTGTTTTTTTCTTCCCGATTTGTGAAAAAATCCCTAAGCGATAGAAAAATATGCACATTATTTTCGAAATTTCCGTAGCTGAATTATGGAAAATCCGTTATTAAAATCAAAACAACTTTTATGAAGTTCAAATTC